CAATGGAAGCACCTATACACACCTAACCCTAACAATTTCATTCAATTTGAATACGCATCAACAACACCTAGATCATGATACTACAATAGAAGTCTAGGCATGCAACTCCACATTGTGATCATCATAAACATACATTCATGTTACACAAAATTTTCTTAAAGGATATTATCAAAACATATATATATTGAAGAGAAGTAAACGACACCACCATAAGTGGACTATACAACACAATGTCATACAAGGCCAAGTGTCTAGCAATTCTATAAAAATTAGAGAGAACACGGCAAACTTACGATTCCACCAAGCTTTGATCATCATTGATAAATTACCATTATTCAAAATCAATACATGTATAATAATGTATCTAAATGTACCATTAAATAAACAAAATAGTTCTTCAAACATCATTATTTAAACATCACATTAGGTGCAGTACTTCAGCAAGTCTATAGAAAGTAGAGGAATATAGATCATTTAACGGAATCCCTAAACATTGATAATCATTGATAACTCATCAACAATTCAATATAAGTTGAAAACAAAAAAAAATCCAAAGATAAAATTACATGTACGAAATCACAATCCATAATCATCTCCACAAGATCAAAATACCCATAGTGTAGGTTCATAAGAGAAATATTACGAACATGGGTTCGTCATTAAATTGGATTGAATTTTTTTTTAACAATCACATAAAAATAAGTTCATCATAAGAATTATTTTAAAAACAATTTTATAAAGAACCCATGGATAGATTTAAAGATCGAAGTTTGATCAAGAAATTTCAATGAAAACATTGGAAGGAACTCCTTCGAATAAAGGTTGACTAAGTATGTGTAACAACCCAAAAATGACATAGGTTTACTAGATCCGACATTTTGGTATTGATGGTCTAAGGTACTAATTATTTCTAATATATGTTATACAGGAAGTAGCTAAACTATAATGTGTGTTGGAAGTCAAACGTCAAGGGACGACTAAGCCGTTTGACGGCTAAGTCACCTAAATGTCTAAAATAGTTCTATGTGTTTATTTGTGTTTCATGAAGTTTTAAGGTTATTAATAGAGTTAATATACAATTTATAGGCAGTAGTTAATTTTTTGTGAAGTTTGGAGGTCAAACGATCAAGAACGTCAAAGGCGTTCAAAAGATACGCCTTGAGTCGACCTTGTATGTTTAGGCAAGTTTCGTCAAGTTTTACGTGTTCATTTTTGATATAATTCATGTGAGAGATTTTAAAATTATAGAATATCGTATTTGGGTTTGAAAAATCCGGAAATTATCCCCAAGGACCACCAAAAGGTCCATGAGGAAGGACCCAAAACCGTTACCATGGAAGACCCCAAATGACAGTGCAGTCAACGGCTCGTAGGCCTGTTGACACCCCTTGAAAGGATGTCATCTATTGGGACTTAACCATGGGAGTAAAAAGATCTTGGAAAGCCACTGTAGCCAATGACGGAGGGCTGTGACGCCCCGTCGTGGTTGTGACGCCATGTCAAGGGCAGGCTTCGCACACAACAGCCTTTTTGCGCAGGCTGCTGACAAGTTAGGGGGTGAAATGGTGATGAATTCACCCCACTTCTAAATTATGTCATGGACGGTATATTAAGAATATTTTGGATATTTTAATTAAGTATATAAAGGTTAATCACATGGAAGACTTCATTCTTCAAAATCATAAATCCAAAACACTTAGAAAATATCCCAAAACCTCCATTGAAGTCCAACTTGAAGAGGCAGCTCGGTGAAGGTTTTTTTTGTAGTAATTCTTCTTCAAAGTGAAGAAATATCATCCTTGAGATATTACTTTTGATCCTTCAAACTCATTTCATCAAGGAGTCAAACTCTCAACATGTTTTTCAAAGTTTTCTAAAGTGAATTCTCCAATTTCATGATTCAAACATGTGTTCTTCCGTAACCGATTTCTAAACATTAAATTATGATATAATTTATATTGTATTTATGATTTTAAGCTAAATTACCTATGAGCCCATGAATTTTGATAAACCCTAGTTTTCAACTATAATATGTGTTACTTGATACCAAGCTAATATTAATGAATTCTTATGTAGTTTCTTATGGGCTTTCTAATTATAAATAATTATATTCAGTTGTTATCTAATTCATCCTATATTTTTAAATGTAGATTTAATTAATGGAGATTTTATTGGATTTTATGATTATTGCTTGAATTGTTTGTTATTGCCTTGGATTAGGGTCTTGTGATGTTCAATTGGGCGATTTAGCATTGAATTTAAATGTGAATAAGGGAATTAAGGTATGCTTTCTTGATTTCTTTAATTTGATATTAGTTATACTTCGATTCTATTGTGATTGGTATGGTCCACTTATGGTGGCGGTATTATGTGTTTTACTTGCAACTGTTGTGGCCTTGTGGCGTTACCTTATGCAATATTATGAGCATTGTCTTATTGGCAACTACTCGAGTTATGTGTCTATTTGTGTAGTTTGATAATGTTAAGCATGACATTATCTATCTAAGTGTGAAGTTATATAGTCATATATGCAGTTCTTCTAGTTATGTTCCCATAAGTGATCATGTTAGACTATGACTTTGACATTATGAGTAAAGTGTTAGGGTTAAGTCTTGGTTATTCCTAATTTATTTTATGAGTCTATGTGGAGTATATTAATGATTTTATGATGATATATATGATTACTCGAAGATGTAAGGTTGTTTTAGATGTGTTTCTATAATGACTTGTACTATGTGGAGTTCATAGATCTTGTCCAAGACCATTATTTGAATGTCCTTTATGTGATGTATGAGTCTTAATTAAATAATTACTAATGTTAAAGAGCATGTAAATAAATGAGTACCTAATCTAAAGTGACTTAAGGATTCCTTAGCTAATGTTTGGAAAGGGCATAAGAGATGATCTCTTCTTATATTATCTTTGGAAGTATTGAGGATGACTCTAGTTAGGGAAGTTTGTTAATTTTGTGGAAATGATTTAAGAATTAGGTAGTCTTAAGGACTATTTATGTAATCTCGAAGAGGTCACTATTGACGCTATCTTCTTGATTTACTTAAGTAGGTCTTTTGATAGGATTTTGAATTAGAATGTCATATCACCTATATGCTGATGTATTATGTGAGCATGATTCTATCTTAGGGAGTCTATATGATCTCTTAAGTGTGTGTCTAAGAAATTGTATGGGTGGTCGCTTCAAAACTCACTCATGTGAGACTTAGAGTTCAACTTTTGTAGAACGATCTTGCCTTGATGTTTATGATTTTTTTAAAAGTATGTATGTGCCTCATTATATGTAATCTTAAGGGTCGCTTAGGCACATCATGAGAGGGTGTATGGGCGGTCTCTCTTTGTGTGATTTAAGTGAATCTTAGGATGACTTTATGTGAGGCATTACATATTAGAAGTATCTTATGTGTTTTAAATTAATTAATGATGTTATTATGATTAAAATATAATTTTTAAATGAAAAGATGCATATTTCCAATAAAGTCCATTTTCATGATTTTTATGCATAAGTAATACTTAGTAAATGTGGTTTTACTAACTCCATACTTCTATATATATAATTCTTTATAGGTGAGTAGCTGTGAGAAGTGAATACTTGGACATAGAAGATCGTTCAACAAAAGTTGAAGTATGTCCTCACTTGTGTCGAGGGCATATATGTCATTCATGCTTTCATTCAAATTATCATAATAGACTAAGTATTTCTATATTCGTATTTTGAAGTATGGCCCGTGTCCCAAGTATTCTTGTGTCTTTAGATTATGAGATTGAGACTTAGTATTTCTATTACTTTTATATGAAAGAGATTTCGAAGACTATATTATGTTTTGTTAAAAGTTAAAATTCCCCAATACTTTTTTTCACTATGTATATGCAATGAATGATATGAAGGAGGCTGATCTAAGAACTCTGAGAGTTCAATGACGCAGGTTACAATCCAAGATTGTACCTTATATTCTAGGGTATGGTCTTGCGTGGTGAAAAAGCTTGGCATCAGATCATAGGATGGTGAAAGTAGTATTAGGAATCAAGAAGTCTTATCAAGTCACGTCTAGTAGAGTCTTGACCATTTGTGTAAATCGCGAAACATGTATGGGCGAGAGGCTATAGGACTATAGAGTTTCCCTTCTTTTATACTCTTACATCGTGCGGTAGAGTAAATTTTATGATTATACTTCTTATGAGTTTCCTTGTGTTTTCTAGGAGATGAATACTAGAAGGATGGCCGCTAGAAGGTTTGTATAGGAGAGGGTGAATGAGGAGGTTCCCCCTAAACTTGAGCAAGTTAAACAAGTTCCTCAAGGTGGGCAAGGAGTTCATGGTGCTCAAGATGCAAAAGTGCCTTCCCAAGGTGATCCTATTCCAAATGTGGAAGTAGGTATTAAGGTTCCGGAGATGTCTAATAGGGAGATTAGAGAGGCTTTGATTGATATAGACCGATCCGTGACTATGCAAGCTAATTTGAATATGATGCCTAGGGTTGTGGAGAGCACTATGACTTCTAGGTTGAGATATTTTGTGAGTATGAATCCTCCTATATTTCTTGGCTTTAAGGTAAATGAGGATCCCCAAGAGTTTCTTGATGGAGTGTACAATGTTTTGAGTTCTATGAGGATTTTTCTAGAGATAAGGCAGAGTTTGTTTCGTACAAATTTAGAGATGTTTCTCGAATTTGGTACACTTAATGGAATGATAATAGGCCGGAAGGATCGGGTCCTATTGAATGGGAAGAATTTAAGGAAGCTTTTCTTGGTATGTACTTTCCCCGAGAGAGGAGGGAAATTTAGGTGGAGGAGTTTGTCGATCTCAAGCAAGGCAATATGAGTGTTGTGGAGTACTCTTTGAAATTCTCAACTTTGTGTTTTGTATTCCTCTTCTCTTGTGTCCAATTCAAAGATTAAATGAGTCATTTTGTGATAGGTTTAGCCGACTTAGTGGTTGACGAATGTCGTATCGCTATGTTGCATGATGATATGACCCTAGCTAGACTAATGGTGTATGCACAATCAATTGAAAAGTCTAAGCTTAGAAGGATGGCTACAAGTTCTAAAAGGAGTGGTGCTAGTGATCAAGAGCAAAGTAGGCTTAGGAAGAAGGTTCAATCTCAAGGAGAATCTAGGAGTTCTAAGTTCAAGGTTGAGAAAGGAGGTGGTTCCAAGGATGGCAATACTACTTGTTCAAATTGTTGCAAGAAACATTATGGAGAGTGTCTATTGTGTACAAGGAGTTGCTTTGGTTGTGGTAAGGATGGGCACAACGTGAGAGACTGTCCTATGATTGCTTCTAGAGGTAGACAGGGTAAACAAGTTGCTCCTAGTAGTCCAAAGGAAGATGCTTTGAAAACAAAGCGTTTCTATGCACTCCGTTCTAGAGTGGAGAAGTCGGATTAGAAGGACAGCGATGATGATGTTGGTAAGTTCTCTTTCTTTTGTTAAGATATGAGTTCCTTCTAAGTGGGGGAGTATGGTTTGTGGATAGGATAGAAGTCCTTGAAATTGTTGCTTGTGCATGATGTTTAGGAGTTTGGTGGAAATTGAATTTCATTAACTTCTGATATTTTGTATTTTATGAAGTCATGATTATGTTGGAAGATGTGTTTATATGATGTTACATAACAAACTAGCATGTTTAGATCATGAATTGCTTAAAATGTGGATTTTTGAAAACTTTCTTTAAAAGTCACTATTTCCTAAAAGACTGCATACTGCCATTTTTTTAAGAAAATGACTAATTGATTTGTTTGCCTAAAAATATGGTTATGTTGTTTGAACTAATGTATATGAGTAGGGTATTAAGTATGAAATGAGCTTTAACTATTTGGAATGAAGCATGTGAGTTTTGTAGCATAATAAATTATAGAATTGTTTTCTAGTTTCTTATTGTGTTGTGAATATCTTTACTATGTGAAATTGATGTTTTCTTGTGATTATGTGTTGTATGGAATGTTTACTATCTGCTATTTGAGTCTCTAATATAGGAAGTGTTCCGAGAATGGCAAGTGTCATTCGAGGACGAATATTGTCTAAGTGGGGGAGATTGTAAGACCCTAAAAATTACTTAGGTTAACTAAAGCATAACATGTTGGTATTGATGGTCAAAAGTCCTAAATATGTGCAGTATCTAAAATATTAGGTGTGTTAGAAGTCAAACGTCAAGGGACGACTTAGACATCTGACGACTAAGTCACTTAAATGCCTGAAATGTGGTTCTATGTGTGAATGTGTGTTTCATAGTGTTTTAAGTATCTTTATAAAGTTAATATAGCATTAATAAGCAGTGGTTAATGTTTCGTGAAGTTTGGAGGTTAAATGACCAAGAACGTCCAAGGCATTCGAAAGATACGCCTTCAGTCAACCTTGTACGTCTAGGCTAGTTTCATCAATTTTTACGTGTTAGTTTTTGATGAAATTCATGTGGGAGATGTTAAACTTATATAATATAGGATTTGGGTTGAAAAAGTCTGGGCAAGGACCACCAAAGGGTCCTTGAAAAAGGACTCAAAGTTGTTGGCATGGTAGTCCTTGGCAGACCCCAAACGACGGAGCAGTCGATGGCTTGTAGGCCTGTTAACGCCCCGTCAAAGGGTGTCATCAATAATAACATAATCGTGGGAGGGAAAATATCTTGTCCATACACTTTAGCAAACGAGTGAGGGCTCTGACGCCTCATTGTGGCTGTGACGCTCGTCAAGGGCAGGCGTCACACGCTACTGCCTTCCTGCGCAGGCTGCTTCCAAGTTAGGGGTGAATTGGTAAATTCACCCCGCTAATAAATTAAGTCATGTATAGTTTTTTTAGGATATTTTTTTTATTTTAATTAAGTATATAAATGTTAATCACATGGAAGACCTCATTCTTCAAAATCATAAACCCAAAACACTTACAAAATATCCAAAAACCTCCATTGAAGTCCAACTTGAAGAGGCAGATTGGTGAGGAGCTTTTGTGTTGAAATTCTTCCTCAAAGTGAAGAATTATCATCCTTGAGGTATGGATTTTTATCCTTTAAACTCATTTCATTAAGGATCCCAACTCTCAATATGTTTTTCAAAGTTTTGTAAAGTGAATTGCGATATACCGTGGTTTCACGGTATAATTAATATTTTACTTAAGTTTAGAGTGTCCGAAAGTCTTTTTGTGATAATTTTTATATAAGTTTCCCTTTGTTTTGTAGGAAATCTCTCCAAAGCTGAATGCGGAGATTTTGAGCGAAGAAATGCAGAAGAGACCACCTACGGAGCTTGTGACGGTCCGTCGTGCTTGTGACGGTCCGTAGGTGGCAGCGTAGTGCAGCTGCTGAAGGAAGATGGGAAAGTCTGACCAAGTATGGGTTTATGAAGCTTGTGACGGTCCGTCGTGTTTATGACGGTCTGTTCTGCAGGTTCGTCATGAAGTTCAGAGAAGCGATCCCAGTACCCACATTCCAAGAGTTGAAGTGTTTTTGAACGAAGACCCTCGACGGACCGTTGTGCCTATGACGGTCCTTCATACTTGCCGTCGAAAGGGAATGAAGAGAGCAGCAGAAGAAATTGCACATGTATGGGACGACGGAGTCCATGACGGTCCATTGTGACCACGACGGTCCGTTGCGAGGTCCGTCGACCCAGCCGCATTTTGGCAGATTTCCAGCAATTAGAATCCTTGTTTAATTAGTCTTTTGTTTTTTTATATATATTTCGAAAAACCTCATTTTTGAGGTTAGAAACCAGATTGTAAGACTCTGTATTGTTAGATTCTATGAGATTAGACATCAGATTTTTAGACTTTGTGTATTAGTGTTGGATTTTGAGATTCTTGCAAGTGATTTTTTTGATATTAATCAAGCAAACTTTTGAATTTTACTCTTTCTCATTGAAGTAAGTTCATGAATTCGTATTTAATATATTTGAATATTGTGTTTATGGCTATGAGTAACTAAATTCCATAACTAGGGTTGTGGGAACCATAGGAAAATATTGAGATAAACCCTAAACTAAAATAACAATTCTAGAATAGTGTCTTGCATGTATTAATAATTCTTTCGTTTAGAAGTCTTTTTAACGGAATACAAACGTTAGAACTCACCTTAATGCTACTTTCCGGACCAAGGAGGTAGATAATAGGAAACGAATTAT